GAACCAAGTTGTCAATCGCTGGATTGTTAACCCCTGGAACTAAGGACATCGTTCAAATAAGAAGTTTGCAAGTACAAAGCGTTCTCAACACTAATAACCGGTGTGTGTAACGCTTAACTTCTTTTCCAGGATCAGTACTACCACTACTATATTTAGTAGGTATTGCCAATACCTCTCGACACGACACGAATTATGTTTAAACCAAATATTAATATGATGTCTGAGACCGTGAAGCCGAAGATCTCGTACCAGTACCACCTCTCGTTGGAGAGGAAGACGCTGCACTAATCAACCGCAATTGGCCGTTAGTCTGTGTGGTGGAGCTATACCATGCAAATTGGTCGGTCGTGATGATCGCATTGCCCAGAGAGTTATAACAGCGGGTTTCGTGTCATGCCATATCTATTGGAGTCATCGATGAATATTGGGGCAGGCATATTTTTAGGCCGCGTTCTCTATCCATATGGTGTTTCTTTCTTGCTGCCAGCATTTATAATCACACTTGTCAAAAAAAAGAACAGAGTTTTGACGCACTATATCCATTTTTACATTCTACACGTCATTAATTCCGCATTCTTTGTGGCAAGCGGACTAGTCTTTAAAATGGAATTCTTTTCGAGAACCTCACCACCCGTTCTCTGGCTTCTTTTCTTGATCTGGGGGCGTTATTTGGCTCACTCGCCTCAACTCGCCCCAAACAAATTTTAAAATTCACAATTCACTTTTTTCCTGGTTTAATACCATTCGCCTCTTTCTTATTATCAATTTTTTTAAAATAAACAATTTCGCATTTTTTTCCACTCCAGTTCCCTTCATATGACAGTAACCATACTTGTATATAATCCTGGCATTTCTTTTCTCGGTAATATTCAACAAGACCCGTACTGCACTAGTCATTCATGCGCTATTATTATCAGCGGCATAATTATTAATTTGGCAACAGAGTCAATTTTCACTACGACATCCATCGCTACTTGACGTGGCGTCCTTTTGCATTTTACCACGCTTTCAGCATTGTCAATGAGATCCGTCAGGCAATGGATATACTAATGGATCTTTACAGCACAGATCGGATGGATTTACACAGCACGGATCAGATGGATCTTTACAGCACGGGTACTTTATGTTACTAATAGTTACGTGGTACTTGTCTCAAGTACTCCCATCCGAGTACGATAAAGGTATTTTGTATTTAGTACGTTATTCAGAAAAGCTGCTTGGAATAGGCGAGACAAAACAGGACTGATGTAAAACGATGACGTCCGAGAAGAGCGGTGCAGAGTTTTAGAAAATCAGTTTCTATTAGATTCCCCGCTCGTCTCAAGGGCGTGCCTTCAAGTCAGGAATGTGCAACGGTGATAGAATCATTAGAACGCGTGCGTCTAGTACCATTCGAAAATCGTCTTACTCGGCGGTGAAAAACGTCCATAACGATAGCATTAGTTGGGGATCCAGCCGTTGTCTTTTTGGATGAATCACTACCGGACTTGATCCGGAATATCATCAACGAGGCGAAAACTGGACGAACGATCATATTGACCACGCATTCGATGGAAGAGGCAGAAGTTCTCTGTCAAAAGCATTATAGTCCAAGGAATGGATGTATTGGACCACAATTAAGACTGATGGAGAAGTATGGCCGAGGCTTTAAATTGAGCTTCTCGGGTCAAGCGGCGGGGTATGTTGGGTATTGTTATGCTATGATGGCGTGTGATGATAAGTACAGATTTAGTTTAACTTGACTTTTGATACTTTCCTTAGCTTCGTCGAGTCATCACTTTCACCAACAGCAAGAAGGCTTCCGTCATTTACCACAAATGTAACTTATGAATTCTCACCAGAACCTGGATTGATTTCTCAACTATTCAAACGAATTGAGCGCAACAAAAGATATTATGGTGTGGATGATTGGGGTTTGAGTCAAACAACGTAAGTTTTACACAATTTTTTTTTTATATTAAAGATAACAGAAACTAACTGTCGTCCATTCTTTGATCTCAGTCTAGAGGAAGAATATGGAGCGGATGCGTGCCAATAATTGGGGAAATTAATTGGTTTATTTAGACTCTTCTACAGACATTTGCAGATTTTAATGTCGAGCTAGCTTACATCTGGGAGAGCGATGGTACACTAGCCTTGGGATTTAGCTTTTTTCCGACGGGAGCTTTTGCTCTTCCTACTTCAAACTGACAATTAGTGACCTTTAACTAGGTTTTATACTCACGATCTGTATATTATCAGTCTGTATACGCTGTCCCTGAATTATTGCTTAACCTCGAGTATCACGTCGATTTCTCTGATGGGGTTAATCTCAGAGCCTATCGGTCGGGAAATTATCTCTCTACACTAACGTTAAATTAAACGATAATCCTGATGCAAAAGTGGTAAATATAATTGATTGGCAAGTACCAATCCTATTCGCCGATGATGAGAAAAGCGTTTACACTTCGCCAACGATGCTAAGTATCTCTTATCAGGGAATAAACGAAATAATATTATTTATAATTGAATCGGATTTTTATTAGAATAAATAACTATCATAATAGCAACGTCTTGCTGAAGATATGATCTGTATTGAAGATTCTGATCTGAAAGATGATTTTCAGCTATCGACTACGACCCGTATTTATAACTAATTATCGTTTCACTAAACTGTCCTGATTTTTGGATAGAGGGGATATTTCGTTGTGTTTGTCCTGAAATTTCGATATATTAGGACTGCCTAATTTTAGTTGTCCGATAAGTGCTGTCTCTTGTCGAGTGTGTCACTTGAGATGTTCGTACCACTGAATTTTTAAAATGATTTAATACAATTGATGTAAAGTCGAACGATTTGGGAATACAATGCATTTGCTAAAACTAATGAAACAGAACCAACGGCAATAACGTATAATCTACTGTTATATATATGTGCGAAATGCAAAATGAACAGTACAGTAGAACAATTATTAGACCGCATGAAATATGATATGATAACATTGATCCAAACACGTCGGCTTACAATTCTATTATCCGAGCGCATTGCGATACGAATGATTTGGCTGCGTGTATATTATTTTAAACCTCAGCCGCCTCGCGCTGACAACTCCTTTGTACCAAGGTCGGTTGCACCAAACAGTGATGGAATCTAACCAGATTTCAACGTGAATGTTCTCAATGGTTAGTTATTCCCTCTTTCGTAGCCTCTGCTAATGTCTTCATCGAAATTGAAGAGTGGGGCCGGTTCATCACAAATGTTGCGCGTTCGTAGGAAAGAATGACAGAACATTCACGGATAAGAGGATGTGGGATGAGTGTTGCCTGTTTGCCTATGGCTTCCTGAAGAACTGTCTTGGGTGAGAGCAACTGCAAATTGGACAAATTGATTTTTTATGGTAAATATCAGATATATATAACTTTAGCTCTATTCTGTTATATCCTAATAGAACAAGTAATAGTAAACCCTTAGATACCTTAATCGCCTTAAAGACTAGAAACACGGCCAGTAATCTCGATTACAAATATCATTGGGAATGGTACAGGAAGACTAGAATGGTATACGGCAGTTCCTCTTTTGAATACAGATTATTAAAATTTTTTTAAAGAGATTAAAAATTGCTAAAGAGTCGGTCGATTAAAGAAATTGATTCTTGCGGAGATGTTAAGCGGTACAATGGGATCGTATGTTTTCGTCTTATTGCCGAAAGTATAGGGAAAAGAAATGTAAACTGACTATTCATTCTCGCTGCATGCATCTTTCCTAACCAATCTTGCTCACACCTTCATCAATTGATATGTCGATTAGGCATTAAACCAACATATTCGAGCGAAAAACATAGTACACATTAACCTAAAAGTTTATCTAGAGAACATTACTTTAACGTCTTTGTTAATAGGAGAAGTTTATCTTGAGAAACTTGTTGAAAACTATTATATATGCATGTTGATAATAACAAAGACGAGATGGTAGTATTGAATACCGATTGTAAGAGCAAGCAGTTTAGAGGTTATTCCTCCCTAATAAATTATTCAAACATATTAATGCGCTAGATATTGTATTGGTTTAAAATCAATGAACGTATTTTCTTTTTTATTCTCAACTCTTCGGTAAAATAAATTTCCATAGACGTGCTGCCAATTAATATACTTCACTAGTTCCAACTTAAACAGCATGTCACTCTACCTCAAATCCATTAACTTATTTAAGAAATTTACTCATTAATATTTATGACCTTTGTATTCTTATCTATCTCATCTTATTGTTCCGGAAAAGCTTGCATTGACGAAAATCAATTCCATCATACCTCATAAAAATGTTGTACATATTGTTCATGATCGCGTAACATTACTCGATTTAAGGATTTGAGTAAAATCCAGTTTACATCTAGTATATTCGTATATGTTATTCGTATTCCATATCATATTATCTTATACCAAATTTAAGGATTTGAGTAACGTCCAATTGTATAATTAAAAAGCTAATATTATTAATATTATAATTATGCTTATGGAAACGGTTTATATTTATAAAAAAATAATAATAAAATTTTTTGATATCCAAACCATCAACATGGTTATTAATTAAATTATATTTTTATCTAGTAGCAACCTGGTGCCCAAGATATATCGTTTAATATGAAAAATAAATACAGTGATCAAATAAACCGAGATGGACAAAGGCTTTTTTTTTACGAGGACATAGACAGGAACGTTAGATACATATGTGAAATTTATTAATTCAAGAAAGTTAAAAAGCTGTCCAAGTAAGCTTTAACTAAGTGAGACTCGAAACAAGTTGATATAACATGTCTTTGGACGTGAACAAATTTATAGAATAAACTCATATATGCATTAAATTTAAAGTTTACATGAAGTTTATAACGTGAAGACATATTAACTCTGTTTACATTTAGGCATTACAACCGATACAAAGTATAAAACATTGATCAAATTTGTTTCCTACTTCAAACACATTGTCAGGCCCAATAGAAGTACAGGCACATTTGACAGCACACTCAGCAATGGTAAGTAATTCAAAAGGATTGAAATCTTTACCAAGGTTAGTTACGCACATTGCTGCATCAACAATATTACTACATGCAAGGGGGGCATTGAAAGTAAGTTGTTGTCCGCAGGTCCCATCACCGAGACACACCTGCCCATTTGGACAATTATTTGAATCACATTCGCAATTTCCTCTAAAACACGTTCGAGGTAGCTGACAGGGTGGACTACACACAAGAGGAGCTATGGGAGCAAGGCAAAGACAGTCGGGACCGCCACAACTGCTGCAAGTGACCTCATCTGGAACACAACTACTGAAATCGTTCACAGAACATCCGCCATCGGAAGAAACGACGGAAAGTAGCAAAAGCAAAACGAGCATGGAAGCATAAAAACCCATCACACCCTAAAGTAAGAACATAATTAATGGGAATAATTATTATAACCAAATTACAAAAAATTAAACGTATTCGAAAAAGCGTTTACCATTATCATTAAGTTGCGTAATGTGAAATTTTTAACATGAAAAAGATGTATATTTAAATAAAACGCCAAATATGAGATCGAACTGAGGAATAAAGGTCAGATTATCGAGAACCGCAACCAATTGGGACTTCTATATTTTTTTTTCTGCGAAAAAACCTGCGGCATATGAAAAACTGTTTGCTTGGCAAAAAACTTTAATCTATATTTTCATATCCAATATGTCCGAAGTGTTACAAAAAATCAATTATTGATGTGATACTGATCATGTACATCAATCAAACTGTCGCAATCACCAGAGTTTTAAAAATTGCTACTACAATTGGTGAAGACATAATTTATAACGTTGAAAATGAGTAGCCGTGGTCGGGAGTAGGCAATATATGATAGACTGTTAATTTTAATATCAGTAAAATATATACTTATCACTGTAGCTTACATAAGTAAGATGTTTGACGCTAGCGTATAAGGAATAATTATAATAGCATGCAGTATTTCACTGCCTACGTCAGACCACACCGTAGTGTAATAAAAATGCCCTTATAACCTTTGCAGCCACTATATAACCCTTTAAACGTCACCAATTTATTACCAAATATGTTATTTACTTCAATTGTCCAAAGCATACTCCGTTTTCCATTAAACTATCCGACATAGAACGTATTGAAGTATTACAATGCTACAATCAATGCAGAAAAGAAATAGTCACACCTAAAGACAGGAATTATGCATATGTTTGAATCAAACGTGAATAGTAGTAGTATATTAGGTATCCACAAGCGTTCTCATACTTCAACCCTAAGTCGAGTAAAATAAAGAACAACGTAAAAAAGTATTATTATATGAGTGAACGATAAGAGAACGAGATTGACGTAGCTGAAACAACTGCTTGTATCATACATTACCAAACTGTAAAAGAGAAACGAAATAATTTAAATGCCAGACAAACGATGAATAATACACTAAACATGGAACAAAAAATTTGATCAATAAACCCTACTCCACTTTTGCCTAAGAAGAAAGAAAGGAACAAACAACAAGTAACGAACAACAAATAACGAACAACAGAAGAAAGTTGTTACTACTCATTCTATAACTGTCTAGCGTTTACGCTCTTTTTGCTACCCCAGGTCCATTTCGTGGGTAAAAGGCTGTACTACACGTCGGATTGTCTTACCCTGAAAAGGAAACATTATCGCTGTGTAACATTTGGATGTGTGTAACACTTCGGATAAATTCCTGATTACATGATTATGTCATAGTAATAGAGTGGTTCAACCCGGAATAATATTACTTCGGATAAGATGTTCTGGTGACCCGTGAGAAAATCAACAACCAATATCGGAAGGTTCTAGGCTTCTACAATCTCTTTTTAGTTTTTTTTTATATAGTATTTTTTTACAAATAATGTTATCTACATTTTGACTTTTCAGTTAACCTTCTTTATTATAAAGTTCAACAACTGAATTAATAACACGCACAAAATCATTTTCAACAAAATTGGAGAATTCGGTTACATTTGCGTTTTTGATATTTACGATGACCTTTTGACCGTTTATTAAAACACCGTATAGCTTTAAAATAAAACGTAGGCGTTGATCTATAATCGGCGGAATTTTCAACAGGTTAAGAAAAGAATAGATTAAATTCTTATATATTCCTCAATGTAATAATATTATTGATGAAACGCAATCATGTTACAAAAGTTGTGTAACTACTAATCTTTATCGATCTATTATCTACATTTCGACGTTTTAAATTGAACTTTATCAACGTTCAAGGTCATTTTTTGTTATTCGGTACAACTTATTTAATTAACCCATTTTCCCAAAAACTGTATCCACTTATTTTACGTATTATTATAGGAATAAACTTGGTGACAATTTAAGCGGGGGGTTTCAGGGAGCGCACAATAATAGTACAGTGTTAAGAAATAATATTATAACATAGGGGAAAGGAAGTAGCGTTTAAAGATGACATACTATCTCTTGTGACATTCAGCAACTTTGGGGTAATTTCGTTCTTATTATTATTCTTATTATTCTTATCGTTATTATTTTTTTTAAAAATTGATGTGTCTGTTTCTGTTCATTAGCAATTATACAGTGTGTTACAAAAAAAAAGGAAGCTTTCAAACATACATATGTTATGCAATATAAATTATAGTTTTTTTTATGTTGTAACATAGACACTTATAGTGGTTTTAAACTGTCAAACTTTATTCTGCTTAGCTTTGGCTTTTTGCAATTAGATTCGATCACAATCAAATTTGGATACACAGCACAAGATCATTAGTAACCTGCCAATAGTAAAGCCTTAAAATTTATGACATTTGGCCAAAACAATAGAGAAAAAATGTGCCCAAGGATTATGGGAAGTTAGCGTAGTTTATAGTCGAAGAATAGAATTCTATTTCTGAAAAAATGTTGTGGGATTGATAAGATAGAAACGTAAGCTAACTATGGGAAGTATTTGTGAAAAATACTCTGTTAAATTTATGGCAATAAAACCTCTGCTCATAAGCCATTAAATAGGGTATAAAGCTCATCTGTCCGTCATAGCACAACAATCAATAGTTCTTTTGCCTTTTTTTGTAACACATTGTATATAGATCCAGTTTATTAAACAACAAGCACTCGATTGTAATCAGGCAGTTTGGGTCCGTATTATTTCATCGACAATCATTTCACCGACAGTACATTTCACCGACAATTAACTACCAAAAAAGGATAACTTCGAAATAATGTTGGTGAAGATTTGTCGGTGAAATAATTGTCAGTGAAATGATTGTCGACAAAATGATTGTCGACGAAATAATTGCCTCCCGGCAGTTTTGTTTACCGATCATGCGTCCATTTTCAGTTACAGAATTTCGGCCATCTACGTATTTGCGCGTCATATTTTTATAATATTTTTTACAGAAAAGTCTTTTCGTTTAAACACGTGAGTTACAAATGACATTAATTCTTCAGAATGAACAATTATGGAGAAAGTTCAACAAGTGGTTCTTCAAATGTTATGTCCATAAGCAATTCAAAAAATAAAACACCAGAGAATTAAAGGAAAAAATAAAACCCGCAAGACGCTGACTGGCCTCGAAAAAAAAGTTCTTTGTATTAAAGCAAACTCAATGTTGATATACTTTCTTGTCTAATTCAAGAAAGTAATTGAGACTAAACAACATAATACGTTACAGTAAACAAGTATTCTTTCATTAATAAAGTTTATACAGTACTGTTAAATTGTATAAGTAGAAAATTTGTATAAATTGTCCCTTCCCCCGACCTTCGCCTTATTGAGTTTGCCTTGTATCACTATTAGCATAGCATATTGCATAACAATCATGTACTGTTTTAATCGGAACTTATCAAGAAGTATTATGAGTTTGGGAAAGCATTATTAATTCGGTTTGACTATTACAAGTGACTTCCTAATACCATCACAAAGGAAGCATTCCGCAAAAAAAAAGGAGAAGATATATAGTTTTAGTAATCTTAGAACATTTTCCCTATCAGCCATTGCAAGGCTAACTTCGAATATCAATTGTAAATACAGCTGTGAGCTGACTGCGCCTGTGAGCTAAAACTCACGCTCGCACTAGATTGCTTTTACAGTCAGATGATATGAGCACTTTAGTTGAATATAGTCATGCATATAATTGTGAGCAGAAGCTATCTGATTTTGAACATAAACTAAATCTCCGTGTGCTTTCTCGCTCGAAATCAGAGAGTAGTAGGACGACTTTTTTCTTGTCAGTTATAAATTGTAACGCACACGTGATTTTTTACTAAGCATAACACAGAGCTTGATTTATTGAAGCATCGAAACAGGTTATTGAGAAAATAAGCAAGTGTTAACAATGTTTCACAGTCCTCATTCCAACTAATCAAAGATAACTATGCAAAATAAAAAAATTCAGTAATAGTTCCATCGGACTCGATGCCCCACACCAGCCGGGTAATTTCGCATTCATCCAAATTCTTCCCAAGTGGTCGTAACTGAGCAATCATATAATCCCAATCAAATACTCGACCATAACAGTCAAGAAAAAGCAATCCATTTTCATGTTCCCCGATGATGATTATGTGATCGAAACCAAACTCTTTGATACATTCTAAATAGTCAGTAACATCCGATTCTTTTTTTATGAGCGTATACCAAATAGATTTTGCAATACGGCGGGCATCAGATCCATTCTTAATCTTTTCCACTACCATGAGAGAATTCTTGCAATGCCCATGTGGTTCATCTTGTCCGCTACCCGCTGGTACTTGATGCACGGGAACATGGTCACCATCTGCGTTCTGCATAAAGATATGGTCCGGCTGTATAAAACAACACGGTGTTGTTGGCTCCTCCGTCGTCCAGTTAGTACATGCCAAGATACCGACTCGGAACAGCTGCCCCAAAGATGTCGATATTTCATAAGTTCCTCCTTTGTTAGGACAACATTGTAGCGACACCGCTCCAAGATCGGTATCACTCTCGACATTATCTTTATCTTCTCCCCCAAAAGTTCTAAAGTCCGTGTCATTTTCCTTTTTTTGATATGGCATCCTCATAGTAGGGCTATGGCGTCCCAGTATATGATTATGGAGAGCGGGCGAAAGTGAGGCCGAGTGACCAGCTTGCTCGTGTCCGGGATAACCTGAGTTCTGTATAAAATAGACTTTGTTTAATACGATCAATATGTTAGAGGATTTTTTCCGTGCAAAAAACACACCTCAAAGGTTCCACGAACACGGTGATTATTTCTCTTTGCCATGGTTTTTGTAAGGTGTCAACCAAGTGTATGGGCTTGAAAGAGAGTGTAATAAAATGGTTTTGTTTGGTGCACGACGACCTACTTTTGGTTGTGACATGAGATAAGAGGTTGCACAATAATGATATTTAAGTCGATGCATTGCAAATTTATTCGATTTCCAAAATGGAAAGGAGTTGCCAAGCCACAACACGCGATTTCGATAGTAAAATTGCAGTTTGTCCATAGCTATCTTCTCCTGTATGTATGCATTACACACCAAACTTTTATAATATGTTCATTGATGTATTATCCATTGGAAAATTAGAGTTATGAAAGTAAACCAAAAATATCTTGAGAAGAAACATACCTTAAAGATTAAAAAGTGCCTTAATTTTAATCTGGTATATCTTTTCAATATATCATACTTTTAACACCTGTAACTGCAAAATGTTAGAACTTAACAAGATGATTAAGCTTGATTATTATTACAATTGCTGTTGTTTATTGATATCTAAGAGAAAATTTATGTCAACGTCAAAACAAATAATTGGGTTTGTGTAACTTTACTATCAAAAATCACTATGATAACCACATGTCTAGCTGAATATTCCCACACTCTGTATTCCTACTAAGATTCTGGGAAGCATAACCCAATGACTAGAATGCTGATAGTCCACTTAGCATCATATCCATCTATTATGTCTTTCTTAGTTCAGTACTAGAGATATTAACTCTTCACTTAGTGTTGAGCATTATTCTTGTTCCATGGGAATACAAGGAACTCACATGATTATAATATTGTCATAGGCTAACGATGTCTCCATTAGTAATTAATATTTATATTACCAATCATTATCAGTGTTATTCTCTGGTTCAGTTAATTAGTTAGCAATACTAATTATGAACACTCTCAGCTATAGTCAAGGGAGGTCACTGTTGAATATCTTGAGAGATACTCCCAACATGAGTTATTACCTAGGCGGAATGTTATCCATACTCAGTTGAAAGTAGAGATAACAATATCATGTAGAGGTTGGGTTATGAATAATATATTATTTGTTATACTTTACAGAAACTTGCATTTTTTAAAAATGTCTCAATGAGATTTGCAGGACATTGTGCTGATAACCATGTGACATTTACAATCAAAAAATATTGCAAACATCTTGTCATGATGTCACTGACAAATTGCTAAATTTCTATTAGTATCCTGGCAATCTTGTCACAAGATTCTGCTAGATTGTTCAACTTTATAAGATTTCCATACATCCCCAAAATCTTGTGGGCACATCTTCATGATACACTAAAATCAGAATCCTCATCTGTCATGGCAATCTCATTATGTGATGCCTGTTAGATAGTGGTGATCTTATTCTGATGTCACAAAGAGATTTATTATTATAAAAACTACAGGTTTCTGTAAAGGTGTGCCCTGGTATCCTGAAATTCTGTACTGTACTGTTTTAAATCCTGTACTGTACTTTTTTTAATTATCAATATGTATCAACTTTTGGTACAGTACAGCCCTTATATTACTGCTTCAGTATTCTAAATTCTGTACTATGTACCAGCTACAACCCTTATATAGGACAACTAACAACCACAAAAAAACAGGTAATTTATCTAGTACTACTGTCCATAATATCTTTCTAATTTGCAATATTACAAAAATTCTGTGAATAATATTAAAATAAAATAATAAATATGCATCACCAGAAAATATTTCTCAAAATCAAAAAAGTAATTAAATCTAGATTATAAAATAACATTGAGAAAGAAAAGTGGCTTATATAGTTGGTAAACTTTTGTTATCAATGTAGGTACTGCATATTCCACCCATAAGTCTAATAACTAAAACTCCCCAACTTCAAGGTTTCAAATGCAAAATTTATTCTATTCATATTTTACAATATGTACTATTTATTACAATAACAGACAGTGGTCATTTATTTGTTATTACTTCCTAATAATCTATACTAGACACGGGACATGTCCCTGGGTGGTACCTTTTCCGAAATTTTGTGTCAATCATTCTGAAAACACATATAGTCACACATATATAAATTTAGGGTTGAATTTTTTTAGCATAACTGACGTATGGAATATCACGATCAAACACCTGATATGAATATAACAAAAATTTTACGTCTCAACTTTTTTTTTCTAACAACTTTTCGTTTGC